CCTTTTGGCCGTACGTTCACTTTTAGTATGGTTTCCACGCAATCCTTTATAAATGAGACCCCTGCTCTCGTTCTATGATCTGGTAATTATTCCCACAGTCGAATAATTACAGCAGCAAGAAATTACAGTTAACCAATTGTGTCTTTCTTTATTTTTTATTTTTTGCCAAAATAAAGAATCAATATCCAAATCTACCATAAAGAGAAGACTGCATGAAAGTAAATACAGAGGGTTCACTGCACGCTGCAAGCCACTCATAAGCATCAAGAATAAAAAGGCTAGACTGGACTTTGCTAAAAAAAACATCTAAAAAAGCCAGTACAGTTCTGTAAGAACATTCTTTAGACAGATGAACCCTCAGATCAACCTCTACCAGAATGATGGAGAGAAATAAGTATGGTGAAGGCATGGTACAGCTCATGATCCAARGCACCACATCATCTGTAAAACACAGCAGAGCAGTGTGATGGCTTGGGCATGCATGGCTGCCAGTGGCACTGGGTCACTAGTGTTTATTGATGATGTGACACAGGACAGAAGCAGCCCARTGAATGCTGAGGTATTCAGAGCCATACTGTGTGCTCAGATCCAGCTAAATGCAGCCAAACTGATTGGTCGTTGTTTCAWACTACAGATGGACAATGACCCAAAACAAAAAGCCAAAGCAACCCAGGAGTTTATYAAAGCAAAGAAGTGAAATATTCTTGAATGGCCAAGTCAGTCACCTGATCTCAACCCAACTGAGCATTTCACTTGTGAAAGACTAAACTTCAGACAGAAAGGCCCATAAACAAACAGCAACTGAAAACGCYGCAGTGAMGAYCTGGCAGAGCATTAAAAAGGAGGAAACACAGCGTCTGGTGATGTCCATGAGTTCAGGACTTCAGGCAGTCATTGCCAACAAAKGGTTTTCAACCAACTACTAGAAATTAACATTTTATTTGCAATTATTTAATCTGTTCAATTACCTTYGAGCCTCTGAAATGAAGGGATTATTTTTAAAAGATGCTTTAGTTCCTCACATTTTTATGCAATAATTTTGTTCAACCCACTGAATTAAAGCTGRAAGTCTGAACTTCAACGGCATCTGAATTGTTTTGCTTAAAATTCATTTTGGTAATGTCTAGAACCAAAATTAGAAAAATGTTGTCTCTGTCCAAATATATATGGATCTAACTRTATCTGCAGTGTTTTAGAAGTAAATGAATACATTACTATGCATGTTATAAATAGAGTACACACAACATAGAAATATGTTGCTCACACTGCAGAACAAGTGTCTCACATGTCTCAGGACATTGTGGGTCTGTTTACAGTATCTTACCTTTGTTTTGTTTGCTGGACAGATAATAGGCTCTGGATCTATAATAAATGTATGTTTGCGTGTAGATGCTGTCCAGGTCTTGTCTCCAGGTTTCTGGGTACAAAGACTTGAGAAGCTGTTCTACTGAGTCAAACGTGGAGATGGTTTTGTCTAAATCCTCAAGCGTCATTGGAAACTCCCTCACCGCCGGCGACGTCTCTTTTGCACCCATGTCCTGTAAAAAGCAAAAGTAAGACAAACTTTTAATTCTATAATTGATTTAAGTCTTCATAAAATTTCACAAAGCTACAATTTAAAGCACTTTTAAAATGATTTATAGAACATGAATTCTTGACAATTCTTTGTTTGGGTTTGCCATTACATTTAATCTGCTCTTTTTTCTGCTTTTGTCTCCTGCTAAGTTCGGGAACAAGAGTGCAGGGAGAAATGGAAGCAAAGGCAGCATCAGCTGTCTGAACTTTTAATCACTGGCAAAGATTTAAAGAATCTAAAATTACTGCCTTTTTTAATGTTCAGTCTTAGTCCTTGTGTGTTGTTTCAGAGAGATCAGAACAGTTATGAAAACATTACAATGATGTAGTTTGGATTTCACTTTTACTATTTACCATAAATTTTCAGAGTCGGTTAATGTGGGTCATTTTCACTCAGATTCTCTTTGATGCAGTTTAAAATGTGAGAAAAGATGGTTGTTACTTTTAGACTTCTTTATGAAAAGACAGAGATTTTACTCCAAAACACACAAACATCATATAAAGAATAAAGACACATAGTAGGATGGAAATACTGCTCAGAGTAAAACATGGACTACTTTCAAAATGAGATCATTCATTTTGAAAATAAACTGTARGCAAACTCATCTAAAATAATTAGGTCATAAAACAGATTTTTAGTGTAATGTCTTGAATTGACAGAACTTATTAATTAAAGTACATTTCAAAAAAATACYCTGCATAGGTTTTTTTTCTTCAACATCGAACGCTGTTGCTAAAAATAGAGACACAAAGCAGCAGCCTGTCACACTGATGATCTTTGCGTGGTCATTGCACGCTGCTGCAGGCCATTTATCTGAATAGGAGGCAACTGTAATAAAACTCCAATAAAATGTTGGGTTATTATATCTGAGAGGTCTGCTGCCATACTCAGCCATGTTTCAAAGGACAAACGTAAGTAATGAGTGGATTTATATAACTTAGAGAAAAGGATTAGACTGATTAAAGTGAATATTGAAACAGAAGCAGTCTTCTGGGATTTTACATTTGTTAATATTTATTGTAAGAGATTAAATAAAGCAGTTTAATGGGTATAAATCAATTATCGTAACATGCACGTCACTCCATCGCTTGATAAAAATAAAAATCCATTACTTTAACCTAGAATTTGATTATATGAAGGGTTTTAAATTGTAAAACAGCCAAATGTTTTATATAAATAACCAAACTTTGTATTAGATTATAGTTTATGTCTGATTTGTGCTTAAAAGAGACTAAAAGTAGCTTTTAAATAAGATGCAACCGAATAAAAATCATGAGTAAAAACACCCCTTTCTTATAATTGTTTTTGAGCTTAAACATCTAAATATAAAATAAAATATTTGGTTCCAACTTAGTTTTAAAATTTGATGAACTTCATATGAACAGAAACAGATCAAATATTACTTCTCAAAGCACATTTGTTAGTCTACCATCACAGCTTCCACATGAATTAGGAATAACTAGCAGTCAAATTATGCAAATCAAATTTATTAACCAATTATGACCTCAATAAAAGTATAAATTTGTCAGCTTACTGCTGTGGARCATGCAGGGTTTCTATTACCACAATACCAAGGAACAAAGACATCAGCAATGATCTTAGAGAACTAAGTGTTCTGCTCATCAGTCTGACAAGTGTTTTAACTCCTTTTCGAAATTACTTTAATTAAAGTTAGATGAAAAATACATTGCAAATTGTAGACACTACAGTAAATGTGCCAGGGTTGAACAAAAGGCCTTATTTAATGTTTTTTTCTTTAGATCAATTTATGAAAGTTGCTTTAAAACAGAAATACAAGAATATGTCAAATGTAAGAAATAAACAAAATTAATCACTTAAAATTTCCAAAATAACAAAACAACTGATATTCAAGTGATGAAAAGAACTGCATTGTTTGAAAAGACTTTCATAAAAATCAGGGCAAAACCCACAAACATAAATAGATGGCTGCAAATAACAAAGTGACCTATGTGCTGTTAAACCATTCATTTTAACTGAGATTTATATCAACTGTCTCTTAGTAGAATAACACATCACTTCTTGTTAGCTAAATCTTGTTCTTACAACAACAAACTGTCTGAGGAGAGGAAAAGTCAAGTCATGAAAAACCTTGTACATGAGGCAAACATAAATCTGTTCTGCTTTAAAATGAACACAGCACACTTCCTTGTTTTTCAGCCACGAGACAGACATTTTCCATTTATACCAAACCATTTTAGTGTTGAAATTTTAGGCCATTTTATTTAACATTTGGCTAAAACTGGGTCGTGCAACAAGACAGCGATCCCAAGCACAACAGGGGATCTACAACAAACCAGAAAAAAGGCAAACCAACACAGAACATCAAGCTGTTGCAATGATCCAGTCAAAATTCAGACCTTAATCTGCTTGAAATGCTGTGGCAGGACTTGAAGAGAGTTCCGCACAAACAAAATCCTTCAAACCTCTATGAAGTAAAGCAACCTTGTGAAGGAGAGCCAACATTCCTTTACAATGATGTAAGAGCCTGATAAGATCATAAAAAGCACGTTTACTTCAAGTTATTGCAGCCAAAAGTGGTTCTGCAGACTTCTAAGCAACAGGGTGGAGTTTGTTTTCAACACACTGCTTCTGGATTTTGGTTTAGTTTCTAATAAAAAAAAATGGCTTAGTCATTTTATTGTCCATCTTAGATTGCATTTGCCTACTTTTAAAATTCTGGGAGGAGAACATTTTGAACCATTTTTTGCCTTGATGCATAAAACTTAATAATTGAAAGCTGGTGTTCTTACTGTTTACCAAGACTCAATTGTAAATGCAAGAGTTTATGTGGTACCTTTAACTAAAAATTACTCTAATACATCTTATTTGCACAAGCTGGCGAATATTCATGCAAACTCATTTACACCCAGAAACACACACCACCTTGTGGTGCCAGTATATGCATGGCATGTGAATAAATATAATTAATCTAAGGAAGCATATCAGTCTACATTTAAAAACCAAAAAGTAGTAAATGCAGTAGGCGAATGAGTTAATGTATGATGTGTGGAGATATGCAAATGGCCCACTCAGTAAGTCATAATTACATATGAAGCCAATATTTTTCAAGTATGCTTCAGGACAAATATACAAAGTGGGATAACAGGTAACCTGAATGCCTTTACTGTGTAAAAACCAGTAGTGAGAACATAGCATGAAATGTTTTTCGATAGGACTGTAATTTAAATAAATGAATGAATGAATGAATGAATGAATGGTGCTGTAACGAACTGTAATTTCTTTTCATGATCTCATGATCACAGAGCAAGGATCGAGGTATGGGTGGGGGA